TCGGAGCGACAGCGTTGCCCCGACCCGGCGTGGCCGGCAGCTGTTTGACCTGCCCTGTTCAAACCTCCTCTTGCAGATCACGGAGCAGGTGGCGAAGATGCTGAAGATGAAGGCCTCCGGGGCCCCTGACGAGGGGAAGCAGAAGTTTGTGCTGAAGACCCCGAAGGTGAGCTCCTCGCCGGCCTTGCGTGCGGTGGCCTGCGCGGCACAAAGCCCGGGCGCGCCTGGGCCGGTTTTATTCTGATGCGCGTTGATTTTCATGGTAGGAAAGCGCATAATGGTGAGCAAGAAAACCTGCGTTTCACAAAGCCTCTCTTGCCGTTCCCGTTCTGATGGTCCCCTCACCTCTTACTGAGTTTAATTGTCCCAGTTATATAGCAGAGGATTTTCTTGCTGCTATATTCACACTAGCTGTAAAAATGCTTAGTGTAATGAAAGAGGGTGTTTTTTTCCTAAATGGAAATGCAAGAGGCCAGGGATGCTTTAACTCGCAGCCCTGCACTGCACAGAGGCCTGGCCTGGGTGGCCTGGGAGGCCCCTTCCAACTGCACGATTCTGGGATTCTGTGGCATAGATTAGAGGCCTCGAGTCCCTGTTTTTCCTCCTCCTGTGCTCCGTGGGTTGGCTCATTTGTCACCTTGCCGATGTTGGTTGTCTAGAAAGGGATGCCTGTTCACTGTTTGTTTGGTTCATCGTTGGTTATGCCTCACAACAGGATTTTGGCTTCTGCTATTCATCCTTCTGAACTTGTATTTTCCATGATTGAGAAGCCTATCCACCGTTTTGGTTTCAGGGCCCAGCTGTCCTTTCTGATCCTGACACAAAAAGGCTTTGCATGGCATGCAGCCTTCCGCAGGCTCACAGCACCCAGAATTCCCAGTCAATGGCCCTGCTGGGTGGGAATTCTGGGAGTTGCGGTCCAAATGCCTCTCAAGGCTGGAGAAAGCTGTGCTATAGCAGAGCCCTTTCTGGGTCAAATGGTCTTGGTCACGTCTGAGGATAAAGCGGGAGAAGCAATAGCCAGCCAAGTGGACCACTGATTCTATTTCAATAGATATAGGCTCCTCTGGGAACGTACAATTCGCTTGACATAATCTTGGTCGTTCCTAACAGGAAAGGCCATTTTCAGTAGGGAGTGAGATAATGGTGCAGTAATGCATCACCGGGAAATGGCTTAACTTTAAGCCATTTTTCAAAATAAAAATAACATAGAGCCCAGTTTGTGCAGCACTGGTGATCAGCTTGCCATGGCCGCTTTCAGCCGTGCCGTTCCATGAAATGTGAGCAGGGTGGCCGGACAGGTGAGCGGTGTCCCCTGCTACACTCAATATGTGTGGGGTGTGGGGCTGTGAGTGGCCGCTGGAGCGGGAGCGAGTCCCTCCCGGGGCGAGGGGGATGCTGGCCGAGGCGGTGGCTCACCGTGCCAGCCACTCTGTCCAGTTCTGGCCGGAGACCAGGGCAGCTGGGCTGCGGAAGCAGGAATGTCTTGCACTGCTGCACGTAGACGCTTAATGAAGTAATCAGCTGTGATGCAGCAGTGCAAGGAGGCCGATGTGGCGATGATCCTGTCCTGTTTGTGAGGCTCTTAGCGGAATGTGGGAGCTGGGCTTTTGCATAGAAGGGGCTGTCCACTGATTATTTTTAAGAAAGATTGTCCGATGTCAGAACACGTACAGTGGAAGTGTAGACCTTAAAATCCCTCTGCCTTTGCACTGGTCTTCCCCAAATATCTATTGAGGTAGAGATGTTATGTTTTAAGCTCCAGCTAACTAGGCAGTGGCCATATGATCTGGGTGGGTGAGTGGAGTGGTGCCTTTGGCACTCTGGCAGCGTGGAGGGTGGCTGTCCCATCCGGGCGATCGGCCAGGACGGCTTCACCGTGCACGGGCCCTTCCCCACCTGGGCAGGCCCATGTGCAGTGAAGCCGTCTCAGCCGATGTGCCCGGTAGGTGATCCCTGTGTCGGACGACTGCGAGTCAGCCTGGGCAGGACAGGGCAGCTGGCTGGAGCCCCTCAGGCACGGCCACACGCCCTGTCTGGCTCCTGCCCGCCCACACAGGGGAGGGGAGGGGAGGGGAGGGGACGAGCGAGGTGGCTGCAGGGAGCAGCCGGGCACGGACACCACTGCCCTGGTGCCAGCAGGCTCCAGTGCCCGCCTTTGTCTCCACCGGGACTCCTGCCACGTCCTGAAGCCGTGAATTTCACTAGCCGGGTCAGTTGCTTGCCGTTTACAATACACAGTAAAAGCACAACTGTCTTACTGTAGTTTAATTACTTTATTTTGCCACTGCAAGAAACTCACCAGGATCTTGCCCATGGGGCGGCAGGGGGTACGTAGCCTGGGTGGGGGGCACAACCCAACCGGGGTAGGGGCGATAATTCCCTGCTGCCTCCCACACTGGCTGAAGAGGCCCCTTTCCGCTGTCCTGTAGCTGCTTCCAAATGAATCGATCGGGTAAGCCTGAGGTCACCATTTTCTCCAGTGTGGCAATAACCTTCCCACGTGACCCAGCCACTTCTTGGCATTTTCCCAGTCACAAGAAGGCCGGGCTCTCTACGCGGGAGAGCAGCAGCCCCGCTTTTTGGAGGCGGCCGCCATGCTGCAGCCAGAGACAGGGTGCTGGGGCGTGCCCTGTCTGGATGCTGGCCCGTGCCCAGCGGGTGCAACGCCCACGTTCGTCGTCTGATTCTGCCTGGGCCTTGCAGGGCACGAGGGACTACAGTCCCAAGCAAATGGCCATCCGGGAGAAGGTCTTCCGCACCATCATCGATTGCTTCAAGCGCCATGGGGCCGAGACGATCGAGACACCGGTGTTTGAGCTGAAGGTGAGGTGGGGCGGGAAGGGCTGAGCTGGGGCACACACCAAGCCCGGCACCTCCTTGGAGGACAGGCGTGCCCGAGGGGCCGGAACGCGTCCCGCGCCACTCTGTGGACTTGCGCACCAGCAGCGCTCCTGGGCCTCCCGCCGGGAGGGAACCCCGCTGAGCCTGGAGGGAACCCTGCCGGGAGGGAACCCCGCTGAGCTCCGCGGGACGTGCTTCTGAGTCCGCACGTGTGGAGATCTCTCCGGGTGCATCTGCAGGATGCCGAGAACTTGGCCAGTGCCCTCTGACCCAAGGGCCGCCCAGCCCCGATGGCCAGCCCAGCTCGGTGCTGCACCGCACCATTCTGTTCCCCGGCCTGCGTGGGACCCCCGCTGCTGCCGCCTGCCGGGACCGCGCGCCGCCTCGGGGCTGGCCCTCACGAGCCACGGGCAGGTGGGGGCTGCCAGGCCCCTTCGGCACTGCCCTGGGCTCTGCGTGGCTGCATCTCTACTGCAGTTTCCAAACCGCTGCCTCTCTTCACGTTCCCTTGGTTGATGCTCTGTAATCCTGCTCTTGGCTGTTCTTATTTTTCCTGTTTTTTCCCCTTTGTTTTTCTCCCCTGCGTCATCTAAGGAAACTTTGACAGGAAAGTATGGAGAAGACTCGAAACTCATCTATGACCTGAAGGACCAGGGGGGAGAGCTGCTGTCTCTTCGCTACGACTTGACTGTATCTCTGACTTGGGGTGCCCCTCTGACGGAAGCCCCCCAAATGGCCTGCCCGGGAGCACCTCTCTCAGCTCTTGTAGATTCAAGGCTGTAGCGTCTTTTAGGGAGTCGGGACGGAGTGCGGGAAACACTTTCAGCACTCACTAAGCAGAGTTCCCTGCTAACCTGCGTTTCAAGCAGAGTCTAAATTCAAGGGCGAAATGTGAAGATTTGCCCCAGGACAGAGAGACCGGAAGGGAAATGGGCGGGGCGGGTGATGCCGCCATGTTGAGCTTGCCCACCCATGAATGGGGGGATGTGGGGGGGGGCAGGGAACCATATGCCAGGCTTTCCCCAAGGATCAGAACCACACAGATCTCCAGGCATGATGCTCAGTCTGAGAGACAAGAGAACTCTGCCCTGAAAGCAAGACGGGGCCTCGCCTGGTGCGGAGGGCCTCCTCCTCAGACTGGAGGCAGGCCGTGGCCGGGCAGCCTGTGCCCTTCACCGCCTCCGATGCTGCCAGATGGGGGTGCCTGCCGATGGCGGGCTGCCCCTTTCGTGAGCAAAGCAGGGAGCAGAGGGATGGGTCCCCTCGCCTTCCGTTCCGACCCCTGGGGTAGGAATGGCGTGATGGTTTCAGCCAGAGAGGGCGGTCATGCCGGCAGCGCAGCCGCTGCAGCTCCCGCCCCTGGCTGTGGCCGTGGCTGCTGTGGAGGAGATGCATGGCTGGCTCGGGACGTGGCTGTTCTCCTTAGCACTCCTCCCAGGTGCCCTTTGCCCGCTACCTGGCAATGAACAAGATCACCAACATCAAGCGTTACCACATCGCCAAAGTCTACAGGCGGGACAACCCAGCGATGACCAGGGGCCGCTACAGAGAGTTCTACCAGTGTGTGAGTGGGGCGTGTGTGTTCGGGCACGCCGGGCCCTGTGTGGCTTCCTGGCCACTCCTCCCCCCTCCGGCTCCGCCTTCTTTTTAAGCCCTCCCTGCCAGCCGGCGCCTCGCCCACCCTCCTGTCCCCCTGGCCAGCGGGTCTTCTCCATCGCAGAATCCCTTCCCTGACCGAGAGTGATGCGCAGCAGCCGGGACGTTCTGTGTGCCGTTTCCATGGCCGCCTCCTTTGCATTTCCAGCCACCAAGGGAGTGATCTCTGCTCCAGTGAAAGCCGAGCGCCAACGGCAGAAAGTGCCAGCCGCTCTCACCGCCTTCTGTGGTAGCCTTTGAGGCAGGCAGCGCAGGCCGCCCTGGCCGGCTCAGTCGCAGGCCCGTGCGGGGCGCCTCCTGCACCCGAAGGGCCCAGCTCCAGTCGGGATGGCTCCCCCAGCCCCGGGAATTCCCACAGAGGTGGAGGGGCGGGGGCCGGACACTCCCGCCGGCAGCTGAGCCTTAAAGGGGGTGGGCCAGCCTCTCAGCATGTGGGGACAGAAGGGCCAGGCCACCTGGGCCCTCGCTGTGGCCTGCAGGAGGGCCGGATCTGTCCTCCAGGCCTCTTCTCTTAGCCCGAAGAGTGCTGTGCCCGGGAGGACGGACGAGGCTCGGTTAGGGCACTCTGGGGCCTCTCCCCACCCCACACACGTTACTCTGTGTGCTCGTGTGTGTGCTGATGGTGCCTCCTAAGTGCTGAGGTGCTGGACTGCCTGCGGCACCGCCAGGCATCACGGAGCTGAGAACCCACCTGTGTTTGCTGCCGCGCGTCCGCCCGCTGCAGCCGAAGCATCTCCTGCCGCCAGCTCCACAGCCCCTTCCCTTGTTTCTGCCTGCTCTGACTTAAGCGGCTTAATCTTCCTGTGCCCCACGCCCCGCCAGGATGCGGGGAAGACGGCTGCCATTGCGCCATCTCTAGCCCAGGGCCGGGCAAGCCCGCTGGAGCGCTCACGCCGTCGCGCTTCTCATTTCTGCCGTGTCTGCTCCCCAGGACTTCGACATCGCCGGCCAGTACGATGCCATGATCCCCGACGCGGAGTGCCTGAAGATTGTTCATGAGATCCTGAGTGCTCTCCAGATTGGGGACTTCCTCATCAAGGTGAGGCGGGAGCTCGGGCCAAGAGCCGCTTCATCCACAGTGCTTGAGCTTACATTGGGAGTGGTGGCCGCTCGTTTTGCCCTAATGCGTCAGCGTGTGTTCACCACACTTTCTCAAATTCGACGGTCTTAACGCTTCCGTCTCGAGGTTGGCTGCCTGACTCTGAATATTGTGTGGCACCAGGCCAGCTCTGGGAAAGATGGAAGGCGTCCTCACCTGGAGCAGCAGGACTGGGTGGTGGAGGCGAAAGGAGAGGCAGGGCTTGGTCCAACATCGTGGACGTCTCAGTTGGCCGTGTCCCAGCCAGAGCGATGTTGTCTGGGGTTACAGAATGCAGAGTGTGGTGAAGGAAGAAGCCGCTCGTCAGCAAGCCCATGAGCGACCTCCGCGCACTGGGATCCGCTCTGGTTCCTTTGAGCGGCCGCATTTCCATCCTTCCCTTGCCCCTCAGAGGTAAGCCGTGGAGAGGCAGGAAGCTCGGGTCGCTCCTGGAAACAGCTCCGTTTCCTTGTAGGTTAACGACCGGCGTATCCTGGATGGGATGTTTGCAGTTTGTGGTGTTCCAGATAACAAATTCCGGACAATTTGCTCCACTGTGGATAAGCTGGACAAGGTAAGGGGGCAGAGCTTCTCGGGACGTTGGGATAATAAAGGCTACTTGGCACAGTGAATCACGTGACTGGAGAAGCTGCGGTGCAACTTTTCAAGAGAAGGATGTTTTGGGGGTGCCTGTTCCTGGGTTTCCATCCAGTGCGGTGGCGTTCCTGGCAGCGGTCGCCCCCCCACAAGGACCACAAGCGAAGGATGAGAGTTGAGGCTAGAAGAGAATCGCCCTTACCTGGCTCTGGGGAAATCGGGGGGAAATGCCAGTGTGGCGTCGTGGTGAAGAGCGTGGGACTGGGACTCAGGCGATCCGGGTTCGAGTCCCCGCTCGGCCATGGAGCCAACTGGGTGACCTTGGGCCAGTCACAGACTCTCAGCCCAACCTACCTCACGGTGGTTGTTGTGGGGATGAGATGGAGGAGGAGATGTAAGCTGCCTTGAGCCCTTTGCAGGAAAAAGGCAGCATATACATCACATACATACATACATACATACCCATCATTTGCCAATATGTGTCCTTCCCCGTGAAGGATTCTGGCCAAGAAACCGCCCCCCTTCTCCAGTGCCGTACTCTCAGAATGAGCTGGATCGCTTTCGCCAGCACGTTCCCCCCTCAGAGGTGGCAACTGCTCCTTGTTTGGAGGCAAAGAGGCATGGAGAAATTCATGGGGCAGGAGCAGAAACGAGAGGGGAGAACTCGCCCTGGGCTGGTAGAAACGCGAAGACTTGCTGCAGACGCTGCATCAGGCAGAGTCCAGAGACCTCTCCTCATCTTGTCCCCAGATGGCCTGGGAGGACGTGAAGGGCGAGATGGTGGGCGAGAAGGGGCTCTCCCCGGAGGCTGCGGACCGCATCGGGGGCTACGTGAGGCTCCACGGTGAGTGTGAGCACAGGCGAGCCTCGTGCACGCTCACCGTCCGTCCCGAATTGGCCGGCTGCTGCCTCCTGCGCGTGATACGGACAGGGTCAGCCCCCTCGGAGGGGGCTGCGGGCAGAGAAGAGTGGGCACTTGCGTGGGCCTCCCGTCACGGGAGCTGTGGGCATTGCTCCCCACGGGGCACTCCTCCGTGTCCCCGAGAGAGGTGGAGCGGAGGGCTGGGTCCTGTCCCCCCGAGAGAGCACTTCTGCGGGTCATTCAGGGCGCCCCAGGGCACAGGTGTCCTGGTGGCTGCATGTCGGTGCCATTCTGCGGGCGCTCGTCTCCCTCGCCCTCTGGTTTCTCCGGTCCAGTCCAGAGCGCTTGCAAGCAGGACAGGCCAGGGAATCGGCTGCGGTCAGAAGGGGCCTTCAGGGCATTTGGCTCCGCCGAGGGGGCACATGACCCACTTTCACCACTCCACAGGTGGGCTGAATCTGATCGAAGAGTTGCTCCAGGATCCCGAGCTGTCCCAGAACAAGCTGGCCAGGGAGGGGCTTGGGGAAATGAAGCAGCTCTTTGAGTACCTGGCCATTTTTGGCATTTCCGATCAGGTGAGTGGGAGACATCTTCTTCGTGTCTCTCGTTGCCGTGACCAGAGAGCGCCACCTGCTAATGCGCCTCTCCCCGCGTCCACAGATTTCCTTCGACCTGAGCCTGGCTCGTGGCCTGGACTATTACACGGGGGCAATATACGAGGCGGTCCTTCTCGAGCGGCCGAAGGAGCACGCAGAGGAAGCTGCCGGGGTGGGCAGCGTGGCCGGAGGGGGCCGCTATGACGGCCTGGTGGGGATGTTTGATCCCAAAGGGCGGAAGGTGCCCTGCGTGGGAGTCAGCATCGGCATTGAACGGATCTTCTCCATCATGGAACAAAAGGTGGAGGTAAGCATGGCAATGCGACCCTCTTCGAGGGGATGCTCGTGGTGACATGTTTGTCTGCTTTCAGCAGATGCCACCAGCATTTTAACCCGTGGCCATGTGACTGAGCTTCGAACCCGCTCTAGCCTGTACGTTCGGGGAGGCTTTCTAGGCCAACCTGAGTCAGGTAACATGAAAGGTGTCGAGGGGTCTACCTGACCTTACGGGCGGCTGCTGGCTGGAGCGTGGCAGCATTCCGGCGGTGCTGGCAGGGGGCCCAGTTGTGTGTGAATCCTTGTCCCAGAGGAACTAGGCGAACGAAATGCCACTAAACGCTCTGTCCATCATTTGCTGATCTGGGAGGTCCCCAAATAAACTGAAGAAATAAACCAGGGCATGTTGTTGGCCTATGACTCTGGCTTCTTTGATCATGGCAAGCTAGAGATCTCGGTGCTGTAACATAAACATATGAACAAACCAGGGCCAGGACCATCCATGGTTAGCTGCTTCCGGGTACAGCAGGGGAAGTGGGCTGAACACACAAGCACAGCTCTCAAAAGCAGTAAAGCTTGTTGTTACATCTGATGGTAGTGATTGTGGGAAGTTGAAAACAATAGTCAGGAAGAATGAAAACAATAAGCTGGAAACCTGAGAAAAAACCTCCTCAGTATTAATTACACGCATAGAAACGGCAAGCCCAAAATATAATGCAGTGCAAAGCAAAACTGTTTGGAATTTTCAAAAACACTTAACATCCAACGCAAGAACCAGTTAAAAACAAATCAGGTCAGACATGACCGTCCTTGCTCAGGCTCCTCATCTGCATGGCCCCGGCCCTGTGCTTTCTCTTAGCTTCAGTGGGCCCACAGGCACGTGTGCCCCTCCTTTGGCTCCTAGTGGGGCCTCCACTGAGGAGACCTCCCGCCATGGGGCTTGCTTTGCGTGGCACGTGGGGATGTCCCGGGTCCTCCTGCTTGCTCTGCACAGCTGCTGATACCGGGATGCGTGGCAGGCATTGCCGGTGGCTGACGCTCAGCCGTGCCGGCAGTCGGTAGAGCGGCTCCAAGTCTGGGCTGGCCCTTCAGCTCTTCCAGGGCAGTCTCTGCGCTCTGCAAGAGGCTCGTTGCTGTTCCTTCCTCTTGGGTTGCAAGAGTCTCTTGTCCGTGTTTCTGCACCGACCGGTCCCTTTCAGAATTGTGCTTTTGCCCTCAGGCTTCCGAGGAGAAGATCCGGACGACGGAGACCCAGGTCCTTGTGGCCTCTGCCCAGAAGAAACTCCTGGAAGAGAGGCTGAAGCTTGTGTCTGAGCTGTGGGACGCGGAGATCAAGGTACGATTGCAGGACGGTGGGGTCAGGAGGAGGGCTGCAGACAGTGTTTCTCGGTTCCTCTGCGGTGTGGGATCGGTGGGAGGGGATGCCTGGAAGAGAAAGCAGACGTGACCTGGGTCTGAGCAGGAGGGCCTGGAGGGCTCCCTCACTACCCGCGTGGTCCGATTCTAGCAACTGGGCCACTGCTGTCAATCCGGAGGCCGCCAGCGCCCTTTTCCTCCCCCAGCTCGGCTGGGATGTTGCATCTGTGAAGACTGACGCCAGTGCCTGCCTTGGCCCACCCTGAGGACTGCGGCGCGCCAAAGCAGAGCGAGCGCTGCAGCTCATCTTCGCCTGTCCTCCAGATGGCACAGCTCCCTGTGCCTGATTATCCATTTTATTTAACACTGTTACACCCACCCGTCTTCTCCCCAGGCACTGTGTCATCTCTCCTTTTGAGGGGGGGAGGGTGTTTAATTATAATTTTACCCTGCCTTTCTTCCTGGCATAAACTGAATTAAGGAGGTGTTCTGATGGATCACCGTGCTCTGGAATGAGCGAATCTGCAGAAGCTGGCCAGACCATATTCCTGCCTCTTAAAGGCACATGCCGGGGGTCCTCAAACTTTTGCCTAGGGGGCCAGTCGAAAGGCTGCAGTGACCGCGAGGTGGGAGTGCTGTTGGGCGCGCGTGGCAGTGGCTCGCCCGCCCGGAGATCTCCCAGCGAGTCCAAAACCATCTCCGAGCGAGCCAGCCAGCCAGCCACCACCGGCTCCCGGCGCTGCAGGGCAGCCGCGACTGCGTGCGTGTGGGAGGCAGGCGGGGGCTTGCTCGCTTGGGGACCGTCTCCGAGCGCGCGCACGGGAGCGAGCCACCACCCCCCCGCCTGCGCAGCGAGCGCGCAAGTGGGAGGGGAGCAGTGGCACGGGCCGGATGGAAGGCCATGGCGGGCCAGATCCGTCCCGCAGGCCATAGTCTGAGGACCCGTGGCATATGCCGTTGCAAAGTGCATAGAACATTGGGCTTTGAACTTTCTACTCTCAGGAAATGTTTCTTGAATAAGTTTAAATGCTTAGAAGTGCACAAAGCTGCCCCGGAGAGCCGGCATGTGGCAGGAGATTCTGGGACAAGGATAATTCAGGGAGGCGCTTGGTCAGACCTGGCTGCTTTCATGGGAATGATGAGTGTTCCCTGGAGCACACACAGTTCCAGATTACTGGGGGAACTGGTAACGTGGGCTAGGCTGATTTGCAGGGAATCTTGTGTGCCGCTGCGGCTTTTCCTGCCAAGGAAGCACTGAAAGGCGTCCCAGAGGCCTGGAGCACACCTTGCAACCCGCTTGGTCGGCCTCGTGCCTTGCCTGCTTGTCTCTGCCCCCCAGGCCGAGGTCCTCTATAAGAAGAACCCCAAGCTGCTGAACCAGTTGCAGTACTGCGAGGAAGCAGGGATCCCGCTCGTTGCCATCCTGGGGGAGCGGGAGCTGAAGGACGGAGTGGTGAAGCTGAGGGATGTCGCTGCGCGGGAGGAGGTGCGCGTGCCCCCCTTTTGCTGTACACGGTGCGGGGGGAGGGCGGACCCGCCGTGCTCTCCTGTCCGGTGGAATAGTGCCTTCCACTCCCAGCAGGAGCCCTTTCTGCACAGAACGTAGCACGCCAGTGGAGCCCTTGCGCAGCACCCGGGACGGGCTCTGCCCTCCGCACGGAGAGCGCCTGCCGGAACAGGCGTTGCTGTGGCGCATTTCGAGGCGAGGTTCGCGCCCTTTAATCATCCCAGCAGCCGTGCGAGGATCAGCTTCCCGGTGATCTAAATCCAGGCCAATGCGCTCACTGGTGCAGCACACTGGCTCTCAGATGCCGCCAGCCTGGCCTGCTGGTTGCTGCTGGCCAGGAGCCCACGGCACTTAGTTGTGCGACCAGCTGGGTCGAACACACAAGACAAGCAGCCACATTCACGTGATCGTTGAAGAAAAACAAGCCGTGGTGGCTCATTCTCCCTTCCCGATCATGCACCCTGGCTGAGCGCAGGCTGGCGCAACCGCCACAGCCAGCCATGGCAGGGGGCCGCAGCCACGCGGCTTCCCGATCAGGTGCACCCTGCCGGTGCGTCTGGGATCATGGCCCCATTCTTGAGCCCACGAAAGCCTTGAACCATCTATAGCAAAGGCATAGAAAACGGTTAGGAAGTCGGCTTATCTGCTGCTGCTCAGATGCAGCAGCCTCTTTTGACGTGATTAAAGATCTGGCACGTCTGTTTTAATGCAGAGAGGATGGACTATAAGAACACTGGAAATACTGCATTGTGGAATATTTACAAGCTGTAGAACTGGTATTTACAGGGCAGCAAATTGAGAGAGAGTTATGTTTTGTAGCTTAAACGTATTTTCTGCATTGCAGGTGGATGTTTGCAGAGGAGAACTGGTTGATGAAATCAAGAGACGAACATGTCCTCCTTAGGGAAATTTACCAGATTATCATGGGAAGATTTGCAGATTTCGCTATAAAAATGCCCTGCCCGTTTTGTTCATAAAACTCCCTTCAGTGGGAGGAGGTTGTCCTGCAGCTGTACTCGTTGCGCTATGAAGTTCCTCTTCGCCAGGCTTGAACCACACTGGAAAATAATCTTTCAAAAAGTCAGTTGCTCTCCCAAAAGAATTTTGAAGCACCATGTGGAGAGATTTCTAGAGGACACGGTCTGGTGTGAGAATGTTCCAGTGATGACGCTGTTACTATCTGCAGTGGCCAAGGCTGGGCACCCGCTTCTGGCTTTCGAGCCCTTGCACTCTGTTCCGACTGATTATTACCATTTTGAAAACAGCATTTGCCAATTAAACGTACTCCAGCCCCGTGCTTTCTGCTGTGTTCCTGCTTTCCTTTCCTTTCCAGCGCAGCGCAAGCGTGTGTGGCTGCCACGCACAACCTACAGAGCGTGCGTGCACCACAGTAGCAAAGCCTACCTTCTTATTTTTATTTATTAATTTAAAGTAAAATTATACAGTGGTACCTTGGCTCACAAACTTAATCTGTTCCAGGACTGGTCGTGAGCCGGACTGGTCATGAGCCAAGTTAAATTTCCCCACAAGGTTCAGTGTAAATAAAGTCAATCCGTTCTGTAACCATTTTTTAAATCAGAAAAATGTGAAGCAAAGTGACAAAGACAAAGAACAACAAAGATCACGGCCATCTCCCCACTGCCCCCCCCCCCCAGGACGACCGAGATCGCGCCTGCCATCCCTGCAGGCACCCGTCATCCTTGCGCGCTGGGGGTGGGGGAGGAGACGGGCACAAATGGGGGGGAGATGGCCGCAATTGTGCTGGTTGCGGGGGGGGGGAATGGCCGAGATTGCGCCCATCTTAACTGCAGAAGTGCGCCTGTGATCATGCACGCCTTCCCTGCACGAAGGCAACGGCGACCATGGCCATCTCCCCGCTCGGGGATGGGGGGAGATGGCCGCAATCTTGGTTGCGACCTAATGCGGCATTCACGACCCAAGTCAAAATTTTAATGAAATTTTTCTTCGTGACCTGATTTGTTAATGAACCAAGGTGTTTGTGAGCCAAGGTACCACTGTATACAAAATAAAATTACATTCCGCATTACTAGCCCCATAGGGCTCTCTAAACAGATTACAAGAAGACAATATATAACAGTAGAAACAGAGTAAAAACCCAATATAAGAATCCAATAGCAACAATAAAAGAAATATGCAAGAACATAATATACAAAGGCGGTATACAGTAGCGATAGACAGCTGAGCGTCAGGGAGGGCAGCTTCGAGCAGTATTCGCGACAAGAGCGAAGCTGTCGAAAAACGAGATACCCTAAACATCGCGCAAAGGCGCACCGCCCCAGCGCGCGCTGCTCGGCCCGCGTCGAAGGACCGCCGCGAGGCTCCGCGGGCGCCTTCCGGGAGGCCGCTCCGAGCCGGGCCGCCCCGGGCAGCGGCCCGCCGACCCGCCCGCCACCTCGGCGGGGACGCGGCAGGCGCGCGGCCAGGGCCCTCGGC